GTGCCGTCAAGTCAGCCCCGACTCATAGCGACCCCTCCTTGGGTTTCCAAGGCAGTATCACTACGGAAGTAGGATTGCCCAACCTTCCTTCCTTCCGAGGAGTGGCTGGTGGGTTTGAACTGCCAGTGTTCTGGTTAGCAGTCAAATGCCTTAGGCACTATGCCGCCAGAGCTCCCTCAAGTTTCCCAAATGAATTTCCCAAACTTCTATTTCTCTAAATATTAGTATTTGCGGAATATAATTCTCCTGGAAAGTCAATATGGTGTTCTGAACTAAAGGGAGTCATATATCATATAACAAGATAGTGTAGGTGCATAAGGGCATGAGCACTTGGACAGAAGCTAAATATTTGATATTCAACAAGCAAAAAGGCTATGTACTGAGAGAACGAGAGAGGGATATTTTAGCCATAATTTTTTATTACTGTTGATGTGGAGCAATTTAAGATCAGTGAGAAATAACTTAGAATGGAGTTAAAGAGCTGAGAATGCAATTGAATTATAACAAATGCATATGTTTGATTTCATATGACAGATTAAAAAGTAGATGAAAACTCTGTCAAAAATTTTTATATTGTGTTATTTTTTTTTTATAAGTTTCTCCTTGAATTTAGTATGCATTGCAAGAAATCAAATTGAAGTTAGTGAAGGAGATACCAACTTAGTGACAGTGAATTCTGCTCACGTTCATATATAGCTTGCCTTCCAAAGTTAATTTTTGATCTCTATTTCATTTCTTCTTGAAACAGATCCTTCTCAAAATAGTGTTCATTGCTTCTGTTCACTTTTGGCAGTGCTTGAAAACTGTAGTATCTATATCTATCTTCACTTCCAACAGCAATTTTTCTCATCCTTGAGAATGGCAAACAGCTTTCCACTTCCATCTAGTGGTAGAAAATTGATTATCATCTTTTGTATTGTATTTGCAACTTTTAATCTTAGAACTCAGATTTTTCCTTTGATATCTGATAACATAAAAAGTGATGGAAATTCAGCTATTGAAGAGTTAGAATGAATAAGCCTCTTTCTAGTACACTGAGGTGTCTTAATTTTATGTTTTATGACTTCTATCTGAAGTTCTCAAATGTTTTTCTGTGTAGATAAAACACTGTACTTGTGTGTCTGTTTTATCTGCAGGCTACCAAGAATTAATGTTCATTCAAAAGCATGTGGCCATTTCTTTTTTTAACTTTTCTGGTTGGAAGATTGTGTGCACCCCAATCCTCCCCAATGCCCTATAAATTACATTTCCAATGATACTGGCAGAAGTTGTCAAAAATATTTCTTTGACCTAAATTGGGTATACTATAGATTCCTAAAATTGATAGTAAAAGCAGAGTATCCCTTTTATTTTATATATATGTTTACATAACCTTTTCAATCTAGGTTCAGGTAACTGCCTGTCTCTCCCATCAAAGGAGAAGGGTTCTGCACATTACAACAGACAAAGAAAGGCTTTTAGAAAATAAAATATTTTAAATTGATCCATTACAATTTTCCAGTTTTCTTGAGTAGTACATTGTAAATTAGGAAAAAGCAGAAAAATGGTACTTCAAACCACCAGGCTGTAGTATCTTAGTTAGATTGGTAGTACCTTATTTTTTTCCCCAAACAGATACAAAGAAAGTTCAAGTGCTCCACATAGATGCTTTCCCATACCTTAGTAATTTTCTTTACTCCCAAGTCCATCCAGTCAGTTTATTCAAACTCTCTGAAGCATATTAAGGAGTATCAATTATGCAAGATACTCTGGGCAACCCTACCAAACAGCTGTAGCTCAGCCATGTTATCAGGATGTAGAACTGTTAATTCAAGATGGAGAACATATGGTGGGAAGAGTTATTTTAAAAGAACAGAATTTGACTAAGGGTACGCAATGCAGACTTTTAAGAGCTCTCCTCAGGAGGCCAATGAAGTCATCAGTATAGGGAGCAGAAAGGAAGAGGCCAGAGGGATTAGTATAAGACAAGTTACTCATATTAACTCTTTAATATTCTATCACCCTTTTTCCAAACAGGAAAAATAAAGTCCATGAAAAAATATTTAAAACTTGATGGAAAACTTGCTACAATAATTTACTGAAGCAAATGGCAAGCAAATGAAAGAGAACCAAAAAAAGGAGAAAGAATAGGAAGTTTCTTCTTGTTGTGTGCCATTGAGTTGGACTCAACTCATAGCAACCCCCTTTGGGTTTCTGAGGTAGTATCACTACGGAAGTAGATTTCCCCATCTTCCTTCTGAGGACTGGCTGATGGGTTTAAACCGCCAGCCTTCTGTTTAGCAGTCAAGTGCCTTAGCCACTATGCTACCAGAGCTCCCAGAAGTTTCTTAGTATTAGAAATAATTAGTTGCTTTTTTGGGAGGTGGGTGGGGACAGATTTGCCCCCATCTTAAAAAGACAAGATTTGCTTATGCAGTTTGCCTTTATGTAGGTGAGTAAACTGTCTGACTAACCACTGCCAATGAAATTTAGGGAGATAAAGCGTGCTAGATGCTAGCCAGTCAAATGGTACAAAAGGGACTTACATGGAACTGTAACAACTTTGTTGTGGTCTCTTACTTCCAAACAACATTGAATATTTAACAAATACAATTTTGAGATCATTTGTGAATTAGTGTTATTCAAGCATATTTGACAGGCAAGCATGCATTGTAATATATAAACAACAAACTTCAACCAAATGCACTTTATTCAGTGAATTAATGTAAGGAATTGCAAAGTGTGTTAATTTTTATTACATTTAAACCTTTGGGTCACTTGTTTTAGACTTTTACAATCTACTGTTAATCAGTATAATGAGTTAATAAATAAATTGTCTTACCTTCTTTAAAGGAGCTCTGTTGGCACAGTGCCTAAGGCATTTGACTACTAGGTTGGCAGTTCAAATCCAACAGCTCTTCTGCAGAAGAAAGATAAGCCCATTTACTTCCATAAAGGTTTACTCTCTTAGAAATACAATGGGGGTTGCTATGAATTGGAGTAGACTCAATGGCAGTGTGTTTGTTTTTTTGTTTTTTTATCTTCTTTAAAATAGAGCAGCAATAAGCAAATTTTAAATCTTCAATTATGAATCTAAATGACATCTTTTGCTGAGGCAAAAATACCAATATAGTTATATGTAAAGTTTGTTATTACGTAAGTGAACAATGGATTATATATTAAAAATGTCTTATAATAGTTTGTTGTTGTTGTTGTTGTTGTGTGCCGTCGAGTCGGCTCCGACTCATAGCGACACCTCCTTGGGTTTCTGAGGCAGTATCACTACGGAAGTAGGATTGCCCAACCTTCCTTCCGAGGGGTGGCTGGTGGGTTTGAACCTCCAGCCTTCTGGTTAGCAGTCAAGTGCTTTAGCCACTATGCTACCAGAGCTCCTCATAATAGTTTAGTACTGAAAAAAAAAATAAAAAATAAAAAAACAGTGCTGTGGAGTCGAATCTGACTCATAGCGACCCTCCTTGGGTTTCTGAGGCTGTATCACTACAGAAGTAGATTGTCCAATCTTTCTTCCAAGGAGTGGCTGGTGGGTTTGAACCTCTAGTCTTCTGGTTAGCAGTCAAATGCCTTAGGCACTAAGCCACTAGAGCTCCTACTTTAGTAGTGATGACAGTGAAATTGTTTAGTTAGATAATAAAAGTAAGTTATATAAAAACAGCTAATGAGTACATTTTCCAACCTTAAGGCAGTACTTCATAACACTTCCTAATAGCAGAGTTACTCTTTTTGGTCTGCCTTTAGTCTAGCATTTTTTATACTTGAAAATATGAAACTTAAAAATCAAATTTTACTTTCTAAAATGTTTTAATATGTTTCAGAAAAAGTATGCATCTTCAGGTAAAAAAATATAGGAAGTTGTCAGTAGAATAAGGTTTTATGTTAAAGTTTTTTTGTTGTTGTTTTTTAAAGCAAACTACATTACTGGTCTTTGTAGTTCAGCACATTTCTGAAACAGAAACAGAATATACAATACAAGACTTCAATTATTGTACCTGGAACAGCAAATTCTAGTTAAGTTCTTTCTATCTCCCTTTGGGAAGATTTATGTGGGCAGAGTTTCCAAAACAAAACTATATGAGATTCTTTACTGTGTTCTGTGACCTATAAAAAGTACAGTTCTGCCCAGAGCAGACTCAAGTACTTATTCGATAACAGCCCTGTTCCACTTGGATGATTGTATTGAAGCAGTGGAAACAGGTATATGGGTTAGTTTGCTCTCTGGCAATGAATGGTGGTTTAGCCTGAAGTTGTAATCATGGATTAATAAGGAATTTGAAAATTGTATTTGAATGAAAAATGCAAATCAATTGTCACAATTGATTTACACACATTTTATAACTTAATTGGAACAAATACTATTTCTGACTTAAGAACGTAACAGAACAAATGTCACAGAACAAATATAGCTTTTTAAAAATAAAATAGAAACCAAGACATGCTATGTTGAGAGGGAATTTATGTGCTGTCCACAAATTGGTGATTACAACCCCACACTGAGGACAAAGCAGAGTCAACTATCCCATTGTCTAACCTCCCTGCTCTTCTGTATTAAGAGAAGAACAGAGAGGGAGATAAAAAGGGAGACAATGCTTTTGCCCATACTCCAGCCAAGTTAATACAAACCCAAACCCAAACTCACTGCCATTGAGTCAAATTAAACTCAAAGCAACCCTATAGGGCAGAGGAGAACTGCCCTCATGGGGTTTCCAAGGCTGTAAATCTTTATGGAGCAGACTATCTCATTTATTTCCTGCAGAATGACTGGTGGGTTCAAACTGCCAACCTTTTGTTTAGCAGCCAAATGCCTTAACCACTGTGCTACAAGAGCCCCTTA